GGCAGCTACAAACGAAACTTCCAGCTACCATAATAGGCGAAAAGGTCAAGGACTTTAGCAGAAAGAACAGAAGCGGACAGAAGCGGAAATGGGTCAGGCATTAGATCATTAGATCCAAGGTTTCCTACGATCGTAAAAGAGCGCTTGAAATGGCGGTTCGCCGGATAATGACATCCGACGAGGCTGACATAAAAACTCTACTCTGATTGGAACAGCTTGGACCAGCCAACATAATTTGTTTGATTGTCAATTCGATTCTCTAGTCGATGGATGGTATGGTCTCTGGTCACTGGTCACTGGTCTCCGCTCTATGGTTTGGAGGCATTTGATTTACATTTCCGTAGCATTTTGTTTTTGCTTTTGCTTTGAATTGAGAATTCATTTGAGTGCTGCTGCTGCTGCTGGCTTTGACTCTGAATGCCAAATCTAATTTATTCCAAGCTTGGGCCTCCGCCCCAGCCACAGCCTCAGTCATTGCCAATGCCAATGGCTTTTGCGCTGCGAATGCAAATTTGACTTCTGGACGATGCCAGGACGCTGCCTGCCAGTCACATCCAGACATCCATCTGTGGGGAGGCACAAGCCAAAAAGTGCTGCTGCACAGAGAACACCACTCGCTCCAGCTCCAGCTCCAGCTCCAGCTGCAGATGCAGATGCAGCCTCATGGGGACAAAACAGCAAAATGCAACCAACGATAGACGTTCGGGCCTGAGATACATTCATTGTTGGAGGATGTGATCTCATCGTAAATTACAAATTACACAAAGTCACGATATCAATTTCAGATGTACCCGATCCGATGTGTTTTTTTGTCGCTGTTTGCTGTTATAATTAAATTGTTGTTGCTTGGCTCGTCTTTTTTCGCGCCACGCTCGCAGCACAAAAAAGAAATGTTCAAAGCAGAAACACACACAAAACACAAAACTTGGCATGGAAATTGATTAATGTATTTAAATTGATTGAGCCAGACGGAGAGGAGGAAGAACTAGAGGAGAGACAGTAAAGAAAAAAGCCCCAACTAATTGTGGAAGAATTTGTTTTTGGTCGAAAAAGCCGACAACAAATTTACATAAATAAACAGGCAGGGTCAAACACCTACACCTACAGAAGAAAACACAGATTGACTTTGGACCTTCATTAGAGGAGCAGAACAGAATGGAGTGGAGGGAAATGCCCTATATCGCCATGCCCCATGCCCCATGCCCCATCCACATCCCCAATCTGGGGCTGGCTGGCGAAAGGTGACGTCGCTGTGACCCATATGCGGTGAAAGCCTCTTTAATCAGGCAGCGGATCGGTGGGGATTTTGCCTTGATTTTTCAATGGAAAACCGCCGCAAAGTGCTTGGTCATGGCATCTACACACATCTACATCTACGGATATGTACGTATGTAAGACCTGCCCCGAAATGCCCCGCTATTAACTAACTGTGCCCCATTTCTAAGACAAACACACAGACACACGCCTCCACGCCCCCACACATGCAGGGGATGTGGAGGAATTTTAATTGGAATTTCATTTGATTGAGAAACCAAATCTGATCTGCTTACAGGTGTGTGGTGTGTGCTTCTGCCTTTTATCTGTGTCTCAATTCTGAAGAAGATATCAGTCCCTCTATCAGTCTTTTATCTGTGATATCTGGCTTCGCTTAAAGACTTTGATCCACATCAAGGAAAACAGTCAATGAATCGCCTGTCGATCAACTTCCGCGTTTGTCTGACTGAGTGAATGACTGATGACTGATCTTTAAGGGTATTGACGATTGCAAATGCATTGCCAAATATTATTGTGATGGAAATACTATTCATCGGATGCTCAAATATTGCTGCCCCAACCCGGGCTTAATTAATAAAACAAATACAAATATTAGGTTATTTGCGGTGGTGCATAAAGCGCTTGGCGGTGGAGCTCTCTGGCTCTCGCGAGCTTATGCAATTCGAGTGCACAGAGCCACAGAGCCACAGGCCATAGCCATAGCCATAGCCATAGCCGCACGAGTTGCCATAAATTTACACATTGTCATGTGCGCAGGTCTTTTGTTGGCCATATCGTGCGAGTACGAGTGTATAGCTTTTTTTTGTTTTTTTGCAGCATGTTTTTCTTGTTTTGCCTTTTTATCTGCTGTGCTGTCTGCTGTTGCAGTTTTCTAACAAATTCTGCCAGCAAATTCGTAAAATATTTGCATGCACAAGTGTTTCTTTTTTCTTTCTTTCTTTTTCTTTTTTGGCATATCCATGGCAGACCAGACCCAGATGTAGGTGGGAACCAGCGAAAAATCTGCTTGCCTGTTATGTCACCTGGCAGGCAGGCGGACTGGACGGACAATGGGAGTTGCCGCTGACATGTTGCGGACACTTGTTGCACTGCACGGCGCGATGTAATTGGAGCCACCGCCTCGCCAGATGGGGCACACACAGCTGAGAGCAGCTCCCTCTGGGGGCTGCAGTATGCGACCTTCAGCATTTTGTAACTATGATAATTTACGTGGCATTATCTGAGCATCCGATCTCTGGCCGATCCTGGCCACAGACAAGGTCAACCGCATGGCATATAAAAGCGCTGCTTGTGGATCGTTTTTATGTGCATTACAAATCAATATAAATCGAAGAGTTATAAAAAGCTGAGCAGACCATAAATAAAGCAGGCACAGGCCCAGGCCCAGGCCCAGGCGCACAATTAAATGTCTCACAGATGCCACAGTCTCCAACAGCCCAGCCGCCACAACTGGAAAACTGGAATCGGTTCGGGTGAATGGCTGCTGCTTTGCCTGATGGAGCACGGGGCGGTTGGGGCTGGTGCAGGGGCTGGTGGTGCTGCTGTGGGCCAACGCATTGATAACCAACGCTGCTGCTGCCAGCAATCGCAGAGCAGAGATGTGTGCCGGCCTAGCACATAAATCTCTTTTCACACCCAGAGAGGCAGAGAGCCAGAGACGACCGGGCGATGGCCTTTGTATCTGTGCAAAGTGCATGTACGAGTGGTTTTGAAATTTGAGCTACGCATGCGCCGACGTCTGCCCCCCACCCCTTCTCGGAGCTAATTACTAGACCAAACCTGAGGCTGGGCCAAACAGTTCTGGACAAAAAAGCTGGTGTTGCCGCTGCTGCGGCTGGTGCGGCTGCCGCTGCCACGTTGTGTGATTATCGCCAGTCATAATTTACGAAAAAGCTGTCTCAGTCGCAGTCTCCGGTGCTAGTCCCAGCCATACGTAAGATTCAGTCACTTTCAAGTTTTCGTTTTTAATTGGCAAAAACGAAGCGAAGCGAAGCGGCATGATATCATATTGTGCGAGTATACGTATACTAGAAGCAGTAATCATTTATTTTTAGCCAAATTGACAGGTGACAAGCTTGGCGGAGTCAAATGGCACACAGGCCCGATAAAAATGGCTAATTAAAGAGGCAGCCGAAGCCAAAGACGAAGCGGGAGCGCGAGCGGGCGATAAGCTCTCGCTGGAGATAGATATGGGGCTGCTGGCGGCTTATCAATCTCGGCTCATTTGTCGCGTGGTGTGAATGATTGCCCCTTCAAGGTTCAAGGTTCAAACGGCAGTAAACAGTATTCCGCACTCCGCAATCGGTGCCAATGAACATTTAATGCCCGAAGGCATTGCAAACCGGAAGGAAACGACGGAATCTGAAGCAATAAATATTTGTTTTATTTGCTGGTATATTTCCCAGCACGTTTCCATTATCAATTTCACTTTTCATTCATCCTCACCCAGAAGAATATCTGCCAACTCACTTTTGAAATAGATTTCTTCTGCACAACACTGCGTATGATTGACGTGCGCACACCCAAGGCAGGCGCACGCATGCCTATGCCTTGGACATAGAGAAATTCATGAAATAGACTATGAAATTCACCTTAAAAAAGCAACGTGGAAAAACGCCTGGAATCTGTAATGAAACAGCAACCACAACAACAACAACAACGACAACCAAAAATGAATTGTAATTTCAATGTGTTTTATGTACGGCTCGATGGGTCGGAGCGGTCCGGTGATTGCGTACCTCGAAAAATGTTTACAACATTTGCTATTTTTGTTCGAAGAAAACAACAAAGCAAAACAACAACAACGGCATGCCCCCAGAGTGCATACACGGCGAATGCGCAATCTCGGAGCGGCTTTTCCCTCGCTTTGCGCCCGTTTTTGTTGTTGTTGTTTTTGTATTTGAAAACGCATCGTGTCGTATGGCAATCAACGCGCACAGCTGGAAGCTTCTAAGTTTGTTTTAACAATAACAACAACAACAAAAACAACAACGGCAGCAACCCCAGCGGCATCTTGAAATGGGCAAAAAATAAAAAATTATTTTCCATTTTTTCGACCAGATTTTTTTTTTAGTTTTTGTTTTTGGGCAAGTCCACTACCAGTTGTTTTCGCTGTTGTTAACATTAACGAGTTGCCTGAAAAAAGTGCGCTAACAAAAACACTAATTTCAACTGGAAAAATGAACAAATATTCATATATTTTTCAGTGAGAAACAGTCACAGGGGAAACTCTAGAGACTTACTTCTAAATGCATTCAGCGAGAATGCCAATACCCAGAGAGATCGAGCTCTGAGAATCGAATATACATAAGAGAGTGGACTACACTTAATTTAAAGTGTTTTATATGTATTCAAATATATTTTTTAATCAAAGTGAATTCTATTTAATTTCCCTATAAGTTTGAAAACAGAATATTTAACTGGAATATGGGTGTCTTTCTTTTTACCATGCCTTCTCTCTCTCAGTGTACATACTATGGGTATTCCTATCTAATTCCAACAATAACCTTCACTACTTTTTTGAGTTTTCTTATATCAAATGTCTCCCACGCCAATAAAACTCTTGTATTTCTTCTGATCGTGCTCTGCAAAGAGTAAAAAAAGATCTGCTCTTATAAAATGGCTGTGTAGTGAGCAACAGATTGAATGACAGGTCACACAGGGTCAGCCACAGCGCTGATAAGACGCTCTCTTTCAAGCTTTTGCTTATCAGGAATCCGAAGCTTCGTCGTCGCTTTAGTAGCCTCCCTGCCATCTGGCACTTAAGAAGCTTAACAAACCACAAGATGCGTTTAATTCAGGCACTGGCCACACTTCTGCTGCTTGCCTCCACACTGTGTAAGTTTTTAGGCCAAAGACCATTCAAACCCCACCTAAGTCCCCCTTTTCTACAGCTCAATTTGATGATCTGCCAGCCAGTGTTAGAGTACAGTTGAGTCCCCGTTTGCTGTATAGAAGGAAGAGTGGCATCCAGACTGATGACACAGACCCTGTCGGTAGTGTTCGGGTTTTGCTGGAGAAAATGGAGCTGGATCATCTGAATTTCGAGGTTGTTCAGGCCATTGAGATACCCACATATGGGCTGCTCTTTGAAATGCAATCATATGATCAGGCAATTGAGATTGCCACGACCTGGAAGAGAATATTAAGGCACAACTCCGAGTACGGCGTGGTAGATACTTGCCCCAGAGGAGACAGTGCCTGTGTGGGCCCAGATTTTGAGCTGCAGCAAACCGAAAGGGATTTCTTTGTGGGACCTAGTAGAACGTCGACTAATTTTGTGGGCCCCACCTTCAGAAGGGGCGACTAATGGGGGAATAGTGGAAAATTTGTTTTCGATGAAAGTTTGGTTATCTTATCGCTAATAAAAGCACCGATTACTTGCATTCATTCATGGAATTCCATATGTTCGCTTTTTCTATGGAAAGTTTTGTTATCGGCTGCATTGGTATGGTATTTCCTCCCGAAGATACGCGCGTCATCGAGTGCCTTGAAACCCTATGCGATGGCATTCCATTCGCCCACATTTTGCGGACGAACACTCTCTGTGGCACAGTTCGCAAAGCGTAATCCAACACTCCAACACTCAGTTCAGTTCAGTTTATGAGTAATACAATGCAGCAGCAACCTTGACTTAATTTGCGGCGTCTCTTCTTACTTTGAAAGTTGCAACGGAAACAGAATTCACACGCCGGGCCCCCAGAGGCACACAGACACAAAGACAACCCATTTCCAGCGGCGCTTCGGCTCTTTCCATTCAATGTCAAACCGAAGCTGAACTTTGGGGCTTAGAGAGAAAGAGAGGCTTAGAAATCCAATCACACTGGCCCAATCCCACCATAAATCACTAACGACACCCCAACTTTATCTGTCTGTTTAAACAGCCATAAATTCTTAACACGAAAACAAGCCACAAAAACTAAAAGGTTCTAACACCTTTCCTTGCCTTTCCATTCCTTCCTTTGCTTTGCTCCATGGAGGCTGCATAAATTTATGCGATCGCCCGAGAGACGACGCTCTTTGATATCAAATTATTTGCGCCGCCACATGAGTTATGGCTGAGTCCATATCCGCCGCCGCGGTGGCAGCCCAAATTGGCTTAAAGGCGGGGGCTCTAAGCCGAGACGAGACCTACTCCATATATATAATTTTGTTGCTGGCTTCCTGTTTGAAGTTGAATTAAACTTAAGGTCCACTTCATCCTTGAACCAACTCCATTTTGAAAGCTTACGTAAAAGTGTGTGTTTCGTAATGTGCCTAACAAATTATAATAATTACAATCATAAATAAGAAGAAACAATGGCAGTCAAAATGGGTATTACCATCTGAAAGACTGACCGAATTGGACTGGGTCTGGGATTGGGATTGAATGGATTTTCGGCTTAGCTGCCGCAGCCGCCGATAATCAAAATCGAAATTGAATCAATAATACACGAGCGGCGATAGCTGTCAGCCAAAGCACAACATAATTTTGAGTTATTGGACTGGGAAAATGGCTCATAATGTGCCACTAATGTGCCACGCGAGTGAGTGAATGCTTGATATTGCGTATACGCAGAGTGCGTTTTCTATCAAAAAGAAATTCGATTGCTGGCTGCTGCCTACTGGCTGGCTGCTACTTTCGTATGCCGAAGCGCGCGCTTGTCAAATAAAATGCCGGGTTTATGAGACAGTTTAGCGATTAAAAAAACGGAGGGGAAAAATACTCAAAAATCCATTGAATACTGCGCTTCGAAGCGGCCAGCGGAAAGAGATTAGAAACTGTCGCTCGATTCGAGGAAAATTATATTTAAATGTAAATTAAGCGCAGCTGAAATTACTAAATATAAGTTATTTTAGTGTTTTAAGTAGTGAAAGTGTGCCGACGCTCTGCCCATGGGAAAACAGGCACGAAATGGGAAACCCATTCGAAGTGGGTGCGAACTGGAAGTAGAGCTCTGGACTGTGGACTGAGGACTGAGGACTGAGGAGGGTTAGCCGATAGCTTCTTCTGCCCGGATGTGGGTGTGTCTCCAGCCATCTATCAGCACCACCCCTGTAACACAGTCTCTCATTGGGTAATATATGCAGGTATCGGCAGCAGCCACACGACAGGGCGAGGATTGAACTAGGCTCAAGTGGCGCGCTCAAGGAGAGGGTAGCCTAGAGAGTGGAAATAAAAATAAATTCAAATTGAAGCAATTAAAACTGTGACCCCTCTACCAGCAGCAGCAGCAGGCAGCAGGCAGCAGGCTGACAGTATCGGGGATAGGGTTCCCGTTCCCGTTCCCGTTTGTGGAAATTACCACCATGATCGTCGTTTCGTTCGACAATTCCTTAACAGCTGTGTGTGTGTGTGTGTGTGTGTGTACATTCATTTCGTGTGCTCCGGCAACCACAAAAACTCATTGCAAACAAAATGATCGACGATAATGCGGCTACAGACAACAGGCAACAGCCGCAGAAAGCAGGCAGGCAGGCAGCATGGCAGCAAGGCAGGCAGCAGCAACAATGGTTGAAACAAACAGAAACAACAACCGAAACAGAAACAGAAACAACAACAATGTTGTCAGGCTGAAAATACAATGTCCCGTCCCGCATTTAGCGACAATTAAGAAATCAAACGTGGCCTGTGCCTGTGCCTGTGCCAGTACCTGAAAACCCCGCTAGCCAAGAGCAGCACCATTCCCTTCCAATCCAATCCCCGATGACAGTCCGGACCGACTTTCCACTCTGATGCAAATGTGCAATTAAATTGTTGACGGTTGCCTAATCAAAATTGTGCGATCATAGGACAAAACGACAGAAGCACCGAGCTCCAGATCCCCATAGACACAGCCATGGGCACACAGGCAAGCAAATGGGGAGCAAGTGAGCGGAACGACAACAATTTGATGGGTTTTCAAAAAGCAGGCAATAAATTGTAATTAACCTTTGGCCACACACAAATTGTGGGAGGTCTGGGTCTGGGTCTGGGTCTGGGTCTGGGTCTGCGTCTGGATCTGGGCATAATGGAAATTCTCGGCACACAAAAAAGGTATTAAATAACCATCAAAATTGGCAAAAGAAAAACCCTTAAAAAAGTGATGTGAGGATCACAGTCTATCGCCGGGGGGCAATCAATTTAATTGTGCAAACAATTGGCATCCGATCCACTTACTTGCAGAAAACTAATTGGCTGTCTGTTCGGTGGTTTTTTATGTGCATAATTAAATGCGATTTAATGGGCAGAGAGCAGCCCAAAGGTCTACCCATAGCTGAGGGAACCCGTCTCCAGGGGTAGCGTAGCAGGGACATAAAAGCAGCATGAAGCAGCGGACCGCCACATATGGTTACAGTTCGGTAATTTTCATTTCATTTTCAAGTGAAAAAAAATCTATGAGCTGTAGCTGGAGCTGGGGCTGGGGCTGGGGCTGGAGAGAGATGTGTATCTGTATCTGTATCTGTATCTGTATCTGCGTTTGTTTGTATTTTTGTATCAGCCATACTCGTATGAAACGTCTGAATCGTATGAATCGAAACGGGTGTGTCATTATTTCAACTGAATTTCATGCCACATGCAATGCTCGGCGCTCTCTCAGATGCGAGTATGGCGTTTTGTGTGGCTGCAACGTTGCCGTTGCCGTTGCCGTTGCCCATGTGGGCAGCAGCAGCTAACATTTTGACAGAACAGTTAGTCAGTTAGCCTTTTTTTGTCGAATCGAAGACAAGGTGTTGCAGAAATCAATAGAACATTTATTTGGCAACACTTGGCCGGGTCCGGCAGGCAATTTATTGCCAACACACGGAGACAGCATTCAGCGTTCAGCGTTCGGCGTTCGAGGTTCGACGTTCAGTTCAAGTTTAGGCCATTGCATAAATTAACAGGCCGGCTGGGCTCTCACGTGTATGCAAAAATCGTTAGCTGGCCAAGAGAGCAGAGCCCCCAGAGAGTGGTTTGATGGCAACTAAAAGTCTACAAAGTAACTAAAAGCTGCTAAGCTTGTGCGCAATTAGAATAGCCAAGAAGCCAAGCAGCCAAGCAGCCAGGCAGCCATGGATCGGGGCAGGCCCGGTTGTTGCAGTTGCAGTTGATGTTGCTACATGGCTACACATGTTGCTGGTTGGCTGCCCGTCCGTTTGTCCATCTAACTAGCCATCTATATTTGAGCAGATTGCGCCGCTAACCTCATTGCAATCTTGGCCCAAACCAGAGACAAACTGACTGGCCTGTGCTGGCCTGGCCTGGCCTGGACAGAGTGACTAACTTCGGCCGAAACTGTGACTGTGACTGTGGCTGTGCCTACGTCCCTGCTTTTGCCCCGAACATTTGCTGCTCACATTCTCTGGCAGTCTGGCTGTGTGTGTGTGTGTGTATCTGTGAGGAGTAAATTGTAAACATGCAGACAAGTGTAATTTAGTTGTTAAGAGCAGATGGCAGATGCACACAGAGACACACAGAGACAGAGAGAGAGAGAGAGAGAGTCCCGTGTGTTGTCGCAGAATCTTTCAACTGCATTGACAACGCGCTGACTTCTACAAATTGAAATTTAAAACGCTCCTTTTTGGCCAAATGCCAAACTGGTTGACCGAACCTGGTTCGACCGCCTGCCACATTTATTTAAATTGCAATTAGAGTGCCAGACGGCACATATAATTAGCTTGTTGGCGGCTTAATTAGCAGACACCGCAAGGGGCACAAACATATAGTACATATGTAGGTCTCCCAGAGCATCCCCCCCTACCCCCTTCATTCTTGAGATACAATAGAAGAGAGCCAGAGCCAGAGCCAGATACGCCATCAGCTGTTTGCAGCAACTGCGTTTGTGGTTGTTGTTTTTGTTGTTTATAAAGCTGAAAGTCGTTAACCTTCGTTGTAACACATTCATCATCATCACTCACCTCGCCAGCAGCACAGCCACGCCACACAGCCTCACAGCCTCACAGCCACACAGCACAGCAGCCGTGGCAGCAGCAACACGCACTCGATGCAGCAGCAACAACTACAGCTACAACTACAACACGATCCTCGTCGCAGCTGAAAGAAGAAGTCGTCTTAATCTTAAACGACGTCTCCATCCATCTCAGAAGAGAAGCATCAGCCAACAGCCAACAACCAACAACCAACAACCAACAGCCAAGAGAGATACATCGACATGGCCATCAGCTGCTCTTAGCCAGTTTTTGTGTGCTTTTGTTTGCTTTTGCATTTGAAAACCAGCAGCAGCATAGCCGAAGTCATGGTTACCCTCAAACATTGAACGTTTCTGCATGGCAAGCAGCTGCTCAGACTCATGATACCCTGTGCCCAGGGTATCAGGCATATGCCAGCAAGGAAGTGAATGACTGAGCCGCCACGCAGTGAGTGCATTAAGTAACCGAGCGGCTCTCTTGGCCACTTGGCCTTTAGAAGGCAACTCCAACGCAAGTTTGTTGGCTGC